AAACTAAAAAGTATATAATTTTAAACCCCAAACCCGCCACCAGGGAGCCAGCAAAAGTGCCCTGCAGTCTCTGGAACCAGCTTCCCCCGGAAATCCGGACCATACCCACTCTCATGGCCTTCAGAAAAGCCGTAAAAACTTAGCTGTTCCGGCAGGCCTGGGGCTGTTGACCTCACTGCTGAGGTCCAGCCCCGACTAAAATGAATGTATGAGGGGTGTTTGTTGTTTTTAAATTATTTTTATTGTTATGTGTTTTTTCTATATATATATTTTTTGTAAGCCACCCGGAGTCCTTTGGGATTGGGCGGCATATAAATATATTTAATAAATAAATAAATAATAAATACTGCACTCTAACCACCGTGCCACCTCGGCTCTTATACATAGAATACCTAGAAAAAACTTAGGAAAAGAATAGGAAACGAGTACAATAAAACATGGCTACACATATGTCAGCTTCAGGGTCGACAATAATATTCAGAAGAAACCTGGGCTGGAGTCTACCTGATTCCTTGGGTGGGCAATAAAGTACAGTACAATCAGACCTGAGAGGTTCTGTTATTATGGCCCATCTCAATAAAGTATAATTCTAGTCTTTCTGGGGAATCTTTTTCCTGATGTATCCAACCCAAAGGACTCTCACAGCATTTCACTTTGAAACTTTCATCCTAAAGAAACAACAAAGAATTACTGTAGAGAATCTGTTATCCATTGTAATGCTGGTTGAGAGATTATGAGAACTAAAATTGAATACATCTGGAGGCACCAGTGTGTTGGAAATGCCTGTATCATTTAACTATTAATCTATTTCAGTAAAATGCTTTATCCATTCAGTTTGGAGATCTCGGTAATTTTGCAATAATCTGTGGTATATCTTTGATTGGTTTTTTAAAAAACTGGTATTTATTTTTGGTTCAACTCAAGGCAATGCAAATACCTAGTGTTGCCATTTCTATTTTCTCTACAATAAGAATCCTATATGGTTGATTGGGCAGAGAGGGTGACACACAACCAACTTTCATGCTTAAGGGAACACTATTGTATTGTTTTCCAAGAATAACTTTTGGTACAACAAATGCTAAAATGCTACTGTAACTCCTTCATCATCTTTAGTGTTCCTGGCTCTGGGACCTATTTGGTTTGAGATTGTTCTGCTTTTAGAGACATGATTTTCATAGAAATTAAACAGAAAAGAGCCCTCTTACATTCTGACTTAGTGCTGGCATTGTATTCTGAACACCCTAAAGAAAATGATATGTAATATCAATCTGATAAAGTATTTTTTTTATTTACAGCTCAATTTTATAAAAAAATAGTTTCAATAAAGTCAATACAAAATCAGTTTATTTTACAATATAATACAGCTATATTAATTTCAAATCAGAAAACTGAAGTCATCCTAAATGCAAGATAGTCTTCTGGTATTAAAAGTTTCTTGGACAAGTTGCTAACTTTATGAAGATGTACATACTAGTAATAAAAACAGAAAAAAAGTTATTGCTTCATAATATTTAAATAGTTCAGTTGCAAAATTCACATTAAAAAAACCTACAAACAAGAGGGTTCCATAAGACAGCACAGCTTCCTTCATCTTCACTTCTTCATTATTGATTGACAATATCTTTGTCTTAATATTTAACATAAGCTTACATTGTACTCAATTCTTACAGTAGTTTCTTGCTCATTGTTGACCTAGAGCTCTTAGCACTTTAAATGTCTTTTTCTGCAGTTTTAATACAACTGCTTTTTCATTTGATACCTGGCTGATTGGCTCTCTTCATTAATTTCTAGAACAGTCAATTTTGAAATATATTCTACTCATATTTATGCCATTCTCTACTACCACTCTGTAATGCTATTACTAGTTTCTATCTTTTAATTTCCCTGTAGTCTCATTTGTTTCTTTTAGATCTCTTGAAAAGTTCTACTTTAACTGAGATTTATTATAGTTATTTTTCTGATCATCTTTTAAAAGGCTTTCCTTTTTCCTTGTTAATTTCCTCTATTACTGACTATGATATCTTTCCTCATCTTTTCTTCCTGAAAGTTTGTGTTTTAACTATAGTGCATCTTTCTTTTTGACCAATGCTTTCATCATTTATCTTTCCCTAGCTTATTATGGTAGTTGTTCGGAAAGCCACTCAAACTATTCTGCCTAGAAATTTGGGGGAAAATTTTCTTTCACTTCAGTTTCCACAGTCTCTCTTATCTAGTTCCACAATTCCTCGGATACTCTCATGCAAAAGTTAATTATACTGATTTGTTCTCTGTTTTGATTTTATATTCTGACTATATGTCTCCAAATCCAATCTTACTGGCACACCTATTTTTTAAAAATATATATATTTATGCCATGTATTTGACCATATGAATTTGACACACTATGATGTGTTCTATAATATACACTTGGAAGGAATCTAGCTGATTGGATTGCAATTCTTTTTCCTACATTATAACAAATTGTATTCTGATGTTATCTATCTAATGATGTCCATGCATTATTTGAAGCATGGATTGGCAATGAACAAAGAATTGTCTTTGCAAAAACTATATTGAACTACTTATTGTATCATTGTGTTTAACAAACTATGCACCAGACTTACTGCAGTCTTTTCTGCTGTGACATTTAGCACCTCTTGCAAATTACTATAGATTTCCTTAATATCTTCATTTGTGTTTGAAATAGCAGCATACATTTGTACAACAATGATGTTCTCCCAATGAATATATGCTAATTCTAATAAATATGAACCTATTGTTTATTGGTTCACAGCCCGTACAAACTTAGTGATATTCTTTTGGGGTGTCATTGTCATTCCATCTCTTTGCATGAATTTATGCTCTGAATAATATATCACATTATCATCTGAACTGAGGTGATCTATTGCAGTCTACCAACGTTAACTGATTCAGAAAATATCTAATTTAGCAATTTCATTTTAATAGTTTCAAGTTTTGTTTGGTTCGTAGTTATTACAATGTTTTATTTGTCTTTGTCAAAGATAAACTTGTTTTTCAGTTTTGACTTCAACAATCACCAGACTTTTTTGTCAATTTGGTTTCGCCATATCCTCATCTGTAGAGCTACTAGTGAGAATTCACCTTTCTTTCCAGTAGCTAGGTTTCCCCCCCACAAAAAAATCATATTGTCTAGCAACCAAAATTGCCTAAAGGATTTGACCCATCTTCATATAACAATCCATGGCAACAATCCAGAAATGATTTATTACTGCTTTCTTCTAGAT